AGAAAAAAGTAAGAATGAAAAAAATTTAATATCTAAAATTTAATATCTAAAATTTAAAATTCAATCTAATTAAAATATGAAATGGCTCATCATTTTTATTTTAAAAAATTAGATGCTCACACTTTAAATTTATTTAGGAGATAGCTGCATCAATTTTAAAATAATTTTTTTAAAAGTAAAAAAAATCTTTACGTGATAATTTTAACTGAAAATTTTTTATTAATTTTAAATTAATTAATCCTAACAATTGAATTACACTAATTAATCTTAATTAATTTAACCAGATGTTATACTATCATTTTCTTTTTCGTTTACTTTCTTTCCGTGCCAAAGTATCTAATCGAATAACTGTTATTACGATAGAAAGTACATGTCCGTGCACGTTTGTGTTTAGTGTAACCGAATGAACTGAGACTGAAAATGATCATATTTATGGGTCAAATGCAATAAAAACAGGGAAAAGAATTGAATAGTGTACCATAGAATCTTGAGGTGCCTATTGCAGAAGTCCAGTTACCAAATAAAATCTAGCTGATACTACTCACAGAAAAACTGAAATCAGAATTTGGTTACAAGCTTGTAGAAGCAACTGCAATCAACAAAGAAGGAAGTGATATCCTTGTTCCTTGGCCACTATGACACTTGAACATCATGTTTAGCATTTCCATCTTTCTCAAATAATTTTTAGTTTACAGCGAAACATCATAAAACTAATTTATTTTGAAAAAATGACAGAATACAAAGAAAACGGCGTCAACACGAGAAAAACGGACGAAGAAAGAAAAAAAATTAAAAACTAAGCATACTCATTCTTTAAAAATATTTTTTAAGAAAAAAAAAAAGGAAGAAGAAGAAGAAGAAAAGTATTAATAATTATGTGTAAACTAGGTCCCTCATCATAAAGACAAGTTGATTATAAAATTCTGGGCAGGTAGTGATAACTCCATGAAATGGAGTTATTTAGCCTCTTTTGGGGATTAAAAAGTATGCTTGTTCTTGAGAATTTATTTAGTTTTTAATACTTTTACCTTATTTTTATTTCATTTTATTTTATTTGGAATTAATTTTATTTTTAGTTTGTTTTAGGCATTTTTATTGTATTTTATTTTATTTCTATTTAGTTTCCTTCCAAAATAATTATTTTCCTCATTATGTAATTTAATTTTGGTGATAGGTGGGCTTAAGTGCAAATTGAAATCCAAATTGGGAGAGAAATGCAAGAGAAATTAAGTAAAATTCGAATTTGAATTAGCCTCAAAATAGAAATCCTTCGCGCGAAAGAAACCATCACGAAACTCTCCAAGCAAGCCGTTGGATCGCAGCATGAACGGTCCAGATCGGGCGCGTGGAATCACTCCAAACAGGAGCGCGTATCCACAGCGCCGCGTCAGTTCTTCGGCCAATCCCAGCAAGCCGCGTGTCCCGCTGTCCCCACTCAGCAGCCCGCGGGATCTGGTACGGCGATTCCATCCAAGCCGCGTGAAATCTCCGTCTCTCAGCGAACCAGAGAGCGCCGCATGTCCACTCAATCCGAACTCTCCAATTGAAGCGCGCCACGTGTCCGAACGCATGCCTTGAGCTGAGCTCAGTTGCAGCTCTCCTTTGTGCATGAAATGAAGGGTTTTTGAGCCCATTTATGCCAGCGGCCGCACGAGAGAAAAGGAGAAGGAGGAGCCAGAGAGGAAAGAAACAGAAAAAAAAAAAAAAAAGAGTGAAGCATTTGAATAAGGCTTTTCAGCCAATTTTTCAAGAGAGAAAAAATCTCAAAACAAATATTTTTATTTATTAGATTTAGGTTTCATTTTCCATAAATTATTGAGGGAGAATTTATTTTGGAGCTTCAAGAAGGAGAAAGATGAAAATTTTGGGAAGAGGTTTTGGAGTTTGTGACATCTCCATTTGGTGATTTTTTTCCCATCTTTATTCTCTTTATTTTTGTAATCTCTAAAAATGATGAAACTCTTGATATTATTTAGTTAATTTTGTGAGCTAGGCTCCTAGTGGAACTAAGATTGTGATGTTTTAGTTTTTGCTTTTGGATTGTTTATGGTATTTTTGTGCTTGTTCATTCATGTGTATTTACTGTTGGGAATAGTGTCCTAGAAGCATGAGATGTAAAAAGATATTTATTATTTATTTAATAAAAGAGTTTATTCATCATTTTATGTGCATATATTTATGAATATTTTATGAATATCAAATAAAATTCCTTGATTATTTATGTAACCTTAAACATGGTATATAAGTGTTGTATACGAGAGGATAATGTTTAAGGATAATAATCAAAAGTAATTGTTCATAATGAATTTAATTAAAGTTTGGAATCTTTAATTAAAACATTATTAATACATGTCATTCCCATTTAGAATGGAACGGTGTTATCCGCACTGTTAATATGACGAGATATTGAATGAGTGTATTTCGCATAATGAGATTATGTGGAACATGGACACAGACACAATATGAATTTCTAATAATTTCCGTTAAGCATAGAAATTCTAATTGAGTCTACCGATGGTCATATATAGGATGATCCTAATCCTGAGTTCTTAACAAACTCCTATTTATGGATTTATGTCTTTTGATTTACTCGGTACGGATTCCGAGACCCTAAATCCTATTCCTTGTATTTTGGAGACATAATGAAATA